ATGAGTAGCATTATCTTAACTCGTTTCATTATTATTCATTTTGCGATTCCTGATATTTTCAAGTTTTTTCCCCAATAACTTATTGTTTATTTAAGTGATGTAACTGAACCGTAATCTATTACATTCTTAACTTTATTCCTTCATACTCCTTCCCTCATATCTTTCTGAACATGACTTGTAAAACATTCACATCTTTCGTCATTGCACGATTCATTCATTCTAGTTTATATACTTATCAGTTATATACATCCAATAGTATATGTATATCCCTGTATGTAGAGAATTCAGTTGAAGAGTTCTACCGATATTTGATAAATTTACTAAATCTAGCTTTATGCATTTATTCCCATTAATGAATTTGAATAAAGCAAGAGCAACAGTTGTTTGTGCAGAATAATATGGTACCATCATTTATTTCGTTGACTTCGCATCAGCTACGTACAGCCTAAATAAATTATGAGGTTTATGTACAGAAAAGTTTTAACATACTTGCAAATTTTTTACATGTTGTCAGTTGACAGAAGGTTCTAGACTTAGTCAACAGTGCTCAGAAAATTACGCTTATATAGTTTTTACACAGGCAGTTCAAGTTTAAACAAAATAAATGTGTGCATAAATATACATATATATATGCAAACAGCTGATGAGAAGCCAAAAAATAAATGATGATGCCATATTATTCTGTACAAACTACTGTTGTTGTTGCTTTATTCAAATCTAGCTTTACTAACCTTTGTTGCTTGTTTTAAAATCAGAAATCGTCCGAAATTTCAATCAACAAAAAAGGTAGACAAAAAGTAAAATAGAAATACGAGTGCATTATTTAAAGGGTGAATTTCTATCGAAAATGAGTAATACATATGTGGTTTCACCAGGTCAGACGTAATCAAAGAAGCATCCCTAATGTATATATCAAAACGACCGGAGTCACGTCTTTTGTCACCTCATAGAGAATTAAAGACATCTAAGTTTATCATACTTGCCTTTGTTTTTGTGTTTGTCTTGTACACCAATGAAGTTTGACAGCCATAGAGTATGTGAATAAAAGACACACATTAATTCTAACTTCTTAACTTTTGAGATTGCTGACATTGTTCATCAAGTGTTTCCTGGCAAGTTATGTGCTGAGACAAATAGAAAAATAAATCTGTTAAATTATTATAATTCCATCAGTGATAAATGTTAACATTACCTATTTATAAAAAAATTATTGTCACATGATGTGTAAAACTGTTGTACTGTCATGGTAACAAGAATGAAAAAAATCTATTAGCTATGAAAAATGTTATTTTTTTTTATAGTGATCGTTTGTTTCATGTGAAAATAGAGCATACAAATAAGCCCTGGAAAACAGAACTTGAGAATTAGGCTAATGCTTGAGCTGGTAACTATGCACAGGACGAACTTCCTCCCCAGAGTTTCAGCGAGAAATTGTGACTAGTGTGACGCCAATCAAGTCAGGTGTAGGAACAAATACTCACCAGTGAGTGACATTGGCTAATACAGACAGATTGTCAGAAGTTGGAATTCATGAGTCCTTACGGATTCCGTCGTAGTAGTTGAAGGGTCAACATGCTCGTGGCGTAACTTGAAGGTTGTGAGTCCGATCCCCAATAAGTAATGCTTTCCTGCTGCCGAAGGGTTCCGAACCAGTAAAGAAACAGCTTATTAAAACTTATGACTAATGCTAAATATTCTACTATTTATACAGTATCAAAGGTTTCTAGAACAATGTAGTTTTCAGTTGGGAACAAAACATGTGAATTTAAATATCAAGCAAAATAATAAGCATTGTTCACAAATTATTCTAAGTGACAGAGACAATGTTAAGCGCGAAACCTATGACTTGCTTTGTTGTTAATAACATAATTTTAGGCTCTTTTATTTCTACCTTATTTTGTATTTTATAGTGAACTCCTTCTTAAACATACTTAGCTACCTAAATTATTAACATTGGCTTGATTTTTTGTACTTTACTGTATTCCTTCTTTTGTGTATCTACTGGTTCCGACTATATTAGCACTATGAGTAGTACAAAATTTTCCTGTCATTAACCATCATGCAGTTATTAGTTTTGTGGTTGTTTTTTCTTATTTTTTATTTTTTTTCGGCAATATCAACTGACAATCATTGGTTGTGAACGTCATTGTCAGCCTTAAAATTTTGTATTATGCAAGATTACTCACACTTCCACTACAAACACTGCATTAGACCTGACAATAAGAAACAAAACAACAACCCTGAAATGTTATTTTATGATTGTTTAGAGTTGTTTCAACCAAATTAACTGATCATCTTGGTGATAAACATTCTTAAATATCATTTCATAACTTCTTGTATGACTACAGCTTTACTGTCACCATGCATAATCATATCATAGCTTCCACTACCCAATACTGAGATATTATTATATGCTGTTTATTTTCCTTTATACTTCTTGGTACTTTTTCGCATTTTTTAAAATTATTGTGTGTTTTTCCTGTTTTTTTTGCTGTTGGTGTCTTTATATTTATTATTCTTTTTGAAATACTCCTTTTAAATGTTTGATAAAATTAGATGCAAATATTGTAGACATGTGCTGAAAATTCCACACTGTACCAATAGTACTGATCTGGAATAAAGCAAATTATTATTATTAAAAAATTATTACCACCAAAAACTTAAAAATTAAAAATATGACAAGCGCTTAGAAACAAGGACATTGTTGAGAGAAAAGCTAAGTGATTCAGAATGCTTATAAAGTAGAATTTAAAGTTACGGGTTTGAAAGGAAGAAATAAGACGAAGATAAAGTAAACCGAATGAATATCGATTACATACTAAATTATTGTACGAGTCAAAGAAAGAAAGATGTAAGGACAGATTATAGAGAACGGTTCGAAAAATATTTTTTGACTCATAACTATGTGTCGCCATCGCCACGCAACCTCTTATTCATCATCAGGAAGTCAGAGACAATGTTCCGCTGTTGGCAACATTCATGTGTGTATATATCATTTCACTTATTACTTTGGAGTTAAGCACATAATCTGTAACAGTAGGTTACTTACTGTCTATACGACCACAAGAACATCTCGTGATATGGTTGTGGAAAGGAGAAATGAGACAAAGCCACAGTTCGATCGTTGAACACCTTGTTTCTACAAGTCATTCCGAATCAGAAGAAAAATCTTTCAAAGTGATATTAGATAAGGTAAGGCCAAGTCATTTGGAAAGGATCCCGACTACATCTTCTACACACAGCAAAAGCTATTACTGTAAGCGGGGAAAACGCTGAACTTTGTGTACAGAGGGGGTTTATCAAATCCCTTTTCCTACAGTGGCCTTAAATTTTTGCTATTTTTTAAAACTCGTACAATAATTTTGGTATTCATTCGGTTGTCATCTTCGTCTCACTTCTTCCGATCAAAACTGCTAACTTTAAATTATACTTCAAAAATTTTTGAGTCCCTTACCCTTTTGAAATGAAATGTTCTTGTTTTCAAGCTCGTGTTATTTTTTAATGGTAACCACAACGGAAAACTCAGCGAGGCGTTTTTTGGAGTAAACACAGGAGTCAGACAAGGGTGCTTATTATCACCAATGATATTCCTAATTGTGGTGGACTGGACTGGATTATGCGTCAGACAGTGGGAACCGAGAAGACAGGGATATCCTGGACCGACGTGAAGAACCTAGAAGACCTGGATTTCGCGCGTGGATGATTTATGTTTGATGTCATACAAAATCGAAGACTTACAAGCGAAAACCGACAAACTGGTCTAAGAAGCAGCCAGAGAAGACAGGACTCCAGGTGAACATAGACAAGATGGAGGTTATGAAAATAACCAACGAACAACAACAACAGCAGCAGCGACATCCAGCGACAATCATCATTGACGAGAGGGATTTGAAAGAGGTTACTTCATTCACTCACTTATCTAGGGAGCATTGTCTCAACTACAGGAGGAACGGACGAGGATGTCAAATCGAGAATCGGGAAGGCGAGAAACACATTCATCAACCTGAAACCAATCTCGAAATCTTCGTCACTCAACCCAGCATCAACAACAAAATTCGGATTTTCAATACAAACGTCAAGTCAGTCACTTCTTCTAAACGGATCACAAAATTGACGGGTCACAAAGAATATTTCCAACAGCCTGTTGCAGACCTTTATCAACAACTAACTGTCTTCGCTGGCTCTATACTGAATATCAGATGGCTGGAAAGAACAACAACCAACAAGAAACTATGGGAACAAACAAACAAAACAAGAACCAATCGCCCAACAAATATGCAGGAGAAAGTGGAGATGGATTGGACACTCACTGGCTGAGGAGGCCGTTGGGTGATATCGCGCGTCAGGCCAACGCTCGAGTGGAACCCGAAAGAGGAGCGGCGAGTGGGACATCAGTGCAAAGGTGACATAGAGGAGATCGTGTGAAGAAGAGTTGAAACAGTATGGACTAACATAGATGCAGGTGAAAAGTACAGGAGAAGACAGAAGCAAGTGGAGACGTGTAGTTGAAGCTCTATGTTCCACTAGGAACTCAAGGGAACGATAATAATAATTTCTGAATGATGGTCGTCACTATCTGTCATTTAAAAACGGTAGTTTTTAATTATATTAATGTGAAGGCTTTGAAAATGTCTCACTTTTCTCGATCTTTATGTATAAAATAGAAGTTTCTACGTTATTTCACTCTTTATGTTGAATGGTAGGCAACAGTAAAATGTAGAACGCGAGTTGTTTCGCCCCTTTTTCATTTAAAAACAAATTACCAAAATGTACATCAGTCTCCCACTATTAAATTAATGGCATTCCCACTGAGACCTGAACTCATTAATCAGTTCTCTTCAATTTTAAAAAAAGGAGATTAACAACTTGATTTATGTCAGATAAAGTAGCGTATATGACGTATAAGCCATTTTTTAAATTATACCTATTGTCCTTCATTTAGGATAACTTTTCATATATGTTGTGAAAGTCTCTTTATTTTCTTTTTCTTTTTTTTACAGGCATTTCAAATGCGACATCAATAACTTCAGTCCCCCAGGAGAATGATACTTTAAAGTGTACATGTTTTAAAAGTGTTAACAACAAGGCAATTGTCAATAAAATCACTGGAACAACTATACGCTTACATTCTTCACATGGGAATGAGGCTAGAACACGTTTAGAAGCAAGTGAATTGTTGTGATTTTCTTTTGTTTTTTTTCATTCATTCTTCTTTCATGTTTTCTAAAATTATGCACACATGATAGATAATAGTCTTGTTTTTGTGTTTTCTTCTCTCAGATCTGTTTATGTTGGAGAGTAATTCTACATCAGTTATAATATTAATTATAATAATGAGAGACATGAAACTAGGTGAAAAGTAAAATGCTGTAAAAAATAACATGTGGGTGGGCTTACACAACAAGTGTGGTTTGTTTCTAATCCAAATGCATAGATATTTTAAAGCATAAATTCTGATATTAATATATGTGTAAAACTTGGGCACTGTGGTAGTAAGTAGTTCCATATTAGTTTGTTTATTAGGTATATCACACAGTGAAACGGTATTATTTATTATAAATAATGATAATAGCGATAGTGATAATAACAATAATAATGATAATGATAATAGTGATAATAATAATAATAATAATAACGACACCAACAAAAGGGAATCTAAATCATCAGTAGTAATTCCATACAAGGAAGGAACCTCAGAAGCTTTACGCAGAATTCTCAACAAGGCAGGAATAAAAACGACATTCAAACCCACAAACTCAATTAGAAACAAGCTTTGTCGGTTAAAGGATCAATCCTGTAGAGCCTTTAAAACAAAACAATTTAGTTTATCTCATACCCTGCCTGAAATGATTGTCAGGTCAAATACATAGGTCAAACTAGTAGAACAGGGGCAGTGAGTCAGACTAGATGAACATAAAAACTTAGCAAAATCTAGATTGGTTGACCCGAATAAGATAAGAAATCCAGAGAATAGTTCAGCTATAGCACTATGTGCAGTTACACACAACTATGCAACAGGATGGGATAGGATGACAGTTTTAAAATCTAATGTCAGAGAGTATAGGGAGAGATTGATAACGGAAGCTTTGTTTATTGAATCAACTGCAAATACATGTAATAGGAATGATTCATCACCTGTCCCCGATATATGGAAAATTCTACTACCTCTACGACAAATTGGAGAAAACAAAGAAAGCTATAAAACTCAAGTGTCAAAGTCGTGTGGTCACAATTGATATGATTATGAACAATAAATTTTGTTCGAAACTATGTCTTCCAGTAAATAATATTGTTTCTTCACTGTGTGATATATCTAATAAACAAACTAATATGGAATAAATTCTGATACCCTGATGAATGAATACAACCATTTCTTATTACGTCATGCAGTGTTTGTTTGTGTGTCTTTGTGTCTCTCAGTTAGTATACATTGTATTTAGTTCTGCATAGTTTAATAATTGACATTTAGTGTAGGTAGGTATAATTTTTGTTTATAGCTTCCATCCTCCTCCAACACGGGGCTTCAGCAGCACATATCCATTTCAGTCAACAGTTCCCTCAGGCTGTGTCTGATCCATCTGCTTTCCTTCTGCATGTTTATTGAACGATGGGTTCTACGTCGATTCGTTGGCACAGTTTCCTATCGTTTATCCAGTCTGCCTGGCCTAATCTAATCTTCAGTATCAGGGCAGTGACAGCAGGTGTTTTGATGAAAGTCTACAGAAGCCTATTGGGAATGTGTTTTTTGTGACACACCATGTCCCTGAATCATTTTTTGAAACCAGTGACTTGATGTCAGTGTCGAAGATCCGAATCTTGTTCCTTATGTCGAGCTGAGTAGATTTTTTTTACACTGATTTCAGATGACTGAAGGTTCGTTCGTCTTGCTTTCCCGATCCTGCCTGACTTTTATGTCCACATCTGTGTACCACCTTTGGTCGAACGACACTGCCTAGATAAGTGAAGGAAGTCACCTCCTTTAGATTTCTCCCGTTGATGATGACTGATGCTTGTTGTTGTTGGTTGGTGGGTATCTTCGCCGACTATTTCTTCTCTATACTCACGTGTAGTTCTGCCTTCTTTGCTGCTTCTATCAGCGTGTTGGTCTGCGCCTGTAGATCTTTGATTCTATGTGACATTAGTCACCAACAAGTAAAGAAAACATTTAGGAATTGGTTTAACAAGTATGTATATATATACAATCAGATATCAGGATATGAAAAAGAGACAAAGATGAAACGCTGATTACATTTTCGATTACTTCAGTTCGTATATAATGAGTAATGCCGAAAATTGTTGTAGTAGTGTTGAACATACTTCATGTAACGTAAAACAAAAACTGAAAACTATATGTGTAAAACTTGGGCACTGTGGTAGTAAGTAATTCCATATTAGTTTGTTTATTAGATATATCACACAGTGAAGAAACAATATTATTTACTGGATGACACAGTTTCGAACAAAATTTATTGTTCATAATCATGTCATCAATTACAATCACACGACTTCAAAACTTGAGTTGTATAGTTTTCTTTGTTCTCTCCTATTTGTCTTAGGGGTAGTAGAATTTTCCAGATATCTGGCTGGACAGGTGTTGAATCATTCCTATTACACGTAGTCTCTTCAGTTGATTCGATAAACAAAGCCTCTGTTATCAGTCTCTCCCTCCACCCTGTGACATTAGATTTTAAAACTGTCATCTTATTACATCCTATTATATGGTTGTGTGTAATTGCATGTAGTGCTATAGTTGAACTATTCTCTAGATTTCTTATCTTATTCGGGTCAACTAATCTAGACTTTGCTAGGTTTTTTATGCTCGGCTAGTTTGACTGTCCCTGTTCTACTAGTTTGACCTATGTATTTGACCTGACAATCATTGCAGGCAGGGTATGAGATAAACTAAATTGTTTTGTTTTAAAGGCTGCACAGGATCCTTTAACCGACAAAGCTTGTTTCTAATTGAGTTTGTGGGTTTGAATGCCAGCCACTTTTATTCCTGCCTGGTTAAGAATTCTGCGTAAGGCTTCTTAGGTTCCTTCCTTGTATGGGATTACTACTGATGATTTAGATTCCTTATTGTTGGTGTCATCATTAATGTTATTATTATCACTACTATCATTATCATTATTATTGTTATTATTACTATCGCTACTATCATTATTTATTTTACTTTTACATTTCCTTACATATTTCCTGACTAATTTATCAGGGTAATTATTAAGTTTCAAGGCTTCTTTTATGTGTATCAGTTCCTGTTTTAGATTTTCTTTGGTACTACTTAGTTTTTGTGCTCTGTCATTTAAACATTTTACCAATCCTATTTTTGCTGACATAGGATGGGATGATCAAGTTTCAAAGTCGTGTGATTACAATTGATATGATTATGAACAATAAATTTTGTTCGAAACTGTGTCATCCAGTAAATAATACTGTTTCACTCACTGTGTGATACATCTAATAAACAAACTAATATGGAATTAAAAACTGAAAACGGCATAAAAACTGTACTGGTTAGATAAATCCTAATAAATGTGTCCTGCTTTCCTAGACCAGCTGGTTGAATGACCATTAAAATGCCTGTGTCTATTAATAACTAGCTGATGACGATAAATTATACACTGAATCTCAATATTTTGTAGTTTATTTTCGGTGAAATGGTATGTACTACTGATTTTTACAAGTAGCCAAAAACCACTGATAACAAGGACGAGTATTAATTCACTTGAAATTTAGCTCATCACGGCCTATGTATGCGAGAAGTGCTTCAAATCTAGCAGTTGACACTGTATCTATCATCCGCCTTGAAACACAATCACATCAAAAATAAAAGAAATTTCAATGAAATGGCACCACTGATATATTATTTGCGTTCCTAGTGGAACATAGGGCTCCAGGAGTGAAACCTTGAAGCTTTACTGCCCGGAGTGGAGTCGCTAGTCTCACAGCCAGCTAGCCGCACCTCTTTGCCAGACCAGTAAATTAGCCGAGGTCTAGAATTACATCGGTCAGGAATCGAACTCCGAACCACATGCGTAGTTGGCAAGCATTCTACCATTGAGCCACTTATGCCAATAAATTGTATACCCATTATAAAAATAGACCTAATACATTTTTTCTTTCCATATTTCTCTATAAATATTTTAGCCTAAAGACTATAAATTCAATGGGGAACGGAAAGAGCAGACTGTCAAATCGTCTCTTTCACCTATATGGAAAAGAAAATTAAGTAATTCAACACCAAAGTTGAAAAGTTTGCTAACTGAGAAACAACCAGCCGCCGCCACCACCATCACCACAACAACAACGACAAACATCACCACTCCCGCTGCTATACAATATACACAGTTTATTCGAATAAACGGAGAAGATGAACAAGGAGGAGGAGGAGGAGTAGAAGAAGAAAGGGAAAAGGATATAAAGCCAAATCCTCAATATGAGAAAAATTCACATCATATTAATAATAGTCATACTAATTATGATAATAATATCAAACAATCCAGTATTCATGCATACCCACCTTCGAATAATTCTAACAATACACAACAACAACAACAACAAAATCAGCAGCCTGCCTGTATATTATGCACAGTGAATTGGCAATTTTATTTATCACAGCCTAGTAATCTTCTTTACAGTATTACTAATAATAGTGATAATACTAATACTGATAAAAAGGCGATGTATTCATCAAATGAAAACAATGCATGGTATTTTTTAAGTCATGCTGACTTTCTTAAATCTACAATACACCTGGTTAAACCGGAACAGTGTTACAGTTGCCGTAGGCATATTTATGCTGTCGGTATTAATTTATTTAATCGGTAAGTTTACAAAACAAAAAACATTTTGAATGATATAATTGATTGATTTTTATGTTACATCCATGGCTCAGTCATTTATGAAGGTGATTTATGTATACAGAGACATGTAAAACAATGTAGGATGACGCCTTGACTAGATGAAGAAACGGCGAGGCTTTTACCCTTAAAAATCCCATAGTCTAAATATCAATCTCCGGATCATTGGTGGCTAGTGGATGGATCTCATGGAGCTTTAGTGTGAACAGTGACCAGTGGGGTCACCATGTTAACGAGAAGTGAATGCCTGTAGAAGGCATTGGTTGAGAGTAGCGCAGAAGTTAGAATTTACGTGTCACTGAACTCCGGCCAAAGTGGCTGCATGGTAAACGAACTTGACCTTGTTAGCCGATGGTTCCAGGTCCGATCATTGGTGCGGTTGTAAATGGGCGTTGTTGAAGAGTCCCGAAATAGGACGAAGCATACGTCCAGTGCTCTTTGGTTTTCAATGACCTCTCTAACTGATGTTGGTTTGTGACGAAATCTAACAAGTGAAATTAAATTAATCCAAATCCCATGATCTAAAGGACGATGATGTTGTTTTTACGAGGGTGAGATTTCCAGCCTTACGCTCAACTTTCCCTCTTTTACTGGATTAATACCGGCTAGGCGACGTTTAGAAGTGAACTGGCTGGGAATCGAACTTAGAAGTCTCGTGTAGCCAGAGAGATCATTCTACCACTGAACAACTGAACCAAGATACTATTCGTTATTTTTGAGAACTCAATGGCGAATCCCCATTCCAGCTAATTTGTGAAGTTTCCCGTTATAAGTGGGAGCTCTCTAGATCTTTAGTAGGAATAGTAACATATGTAGTGTGTTTTTGTCTCCTACAGGATTTTTAAAATCCTCTTACTTATTCTCCATTCTAAGGTACTTCTCTCTTTACGGGGTTTATAACTATTTTTTAAAGTAATTACTCTGTTTTCGGTTACTTTTTTGACTATAAGTGGTGGTTAGCAACTTGGGCTTGTACATAGTTTGTTCCAGTATCCAGTTGAGAGGTAGAATGCTAGCCAACTACGCCTTACGTGGTCAGGGGTTTGATCTCCTGCCGCCGCACTCCTTATAAATATCTCTTTAGGCCAGTAAAGAGGGTAGTTTGGATGTTAGACTAACAACCCTACTCCGTCAAAAAAATAAAACCACTGATACCGAAACTTCAATGTTCCACTGGGGACATACAGGAATAAAATAACTATAATAATAATAAGTGCCTATGTTATCCCGTGTTTCTGTACACCGAGTCACCTATTCTTACTTCATGTTAATCGCGATAGATAGATAGACTATATGATAGACAGTTAATCAATATGATGTGACCTTCTTGTCGCGATTATTGGTCAATTTATTGTAACTCTCACCACGTGATGTGACCTTGAATGTTCTTTTTTGTCTGTCACTCTATTTGTGTATACATGTAATTGACTGTTCATTTTGTCCGTACCCTCAATACTGTTCGGTACGTTTTTGTCCTTTTTTTGTAATGACAGTGGATCTGTACATTTTTCTTGGTGTAATTGTATGATTTATTTTATGTTTTAGAAACAGTTTAAGTCAAGTCATTCTGTTTTAACTATAGTAAAGCCAAGACTCTGTGTCGTCAGTATTGAGGAAGGACTAAATCTGTAGGACAAAAATAATCCTACACTTCACTGTCAATATTCATAAAGTAGTGGTTATACCATGTTCTTAATTAGAGAAAAAAATGTTTATGAAGCAGAAATTCAGAAACCTGATGATAACTTACAGCCACAGTCACAGATTTCGTAGAGTTCTAATGCAAAGTCATTGTCAGTGGGGTTTAACGAACGGAGTGTGTCGGTAGTTATCCATTGGTAGCGCTGAACAGCGATTACGTTATTATCTATCATAAGTCGGGGGAAGTTCGTGAACCCAAACCGTTGAGTTTGAATTAAGTGACTGAAGGATTACTTGCCTACTACTTTCATACTTGATTTGCTTTATTTTAATGTCTCATTGGAACTTCAATTTTCACTAGTGAAGAGTCTTCAACTTACAGTCAGAAACCGTCAATCAGGCTGTTTTTCCAATTATCTTTTCATCTTCACTTATAAACTGCTATAATGAATATATTAATTAATCAATTAATGGGATTATACGCCGATTTTTCAGCTTGGAGAACAGTCGTCAATCAAAACAAGTGACTCGAGATTCAATCCTCGGCTGACATACTCCTTAACATCGCTTAGATGATAGCTAGTCCAGTCAGTGTAAAGAGGAAAACGTTGGGTGTGAGGCTAGAGCAGCCCCATGCTGTAATAGAAAACAGCACTGCTATTGAAACATCTTAAAATCTCTAGCTTGAAGCGTTATGTTTCGCTCTGAACGCAAAGGAATATAAGAAATGGGGTTATGATATTCTCTGAATTCAGAACAAAATATTTAGAGCGAACAATTGTAGTTTCAATAAATTCTTCTTCAGGCTCTACAATCATAAATCCATTAATTTAAGCATACAATAGCTAGTCAGTAAAGGCAAATTAGAATCATATCAGAAAGTGTATTGTGGAACAAGTATAGGATGGGATGGAACAATAGTCAGATAGTTTTATTTAATATGCATGGTCAATGAGAACATGGGACAAAATGAGATGAAGTAATTTAATTTAATGATGTGTGTGTGTATATATATAAATATAGTCAACAGAAAAATACAGGTTTCGAGAGTGAGTGTAATCAAGGTGTGTGAGACAATATGAAAATAAACCAACGAATGGGGTGGTCTAGGTATAAGTTCAAGGTTGAAAATAAGGGCAGTAAGAATGATTGTAAAATAATAACGATGATATGGTGTAAAATTACAAGCACTATTAGTGAATGATTGTCAAATAATAATAATGAATATAATGAAGTGGAATGAACAGGATTTTGTAAATACGATAGCAAGTTAGAAAAGCACTACTTAAACCCAAGGTAATAAAATCATAAGAAAGGTCATGAAATCATAAAATTCGAAAATGAACGTTTGTCACTGAAACAGAGGAATAGAAGAAGAAGGAAAGAAAAGAAAATTGTGAAAGGAATTTATAGTGTTAATGGAGGATTTGTTGGCTTTATTGTAGGCCAAGGTAAACACAGAGGTTGAACATACTTCTACTGTATGCAAAGAGATGGTCTTCTGGTATTAATTGCCACCGCTTCAGCTACTGATAGAAGACGCAGTCGAGCTCCTCTAGATAAATTACTAGGAACGCGGTAAATAATAATAATAATGATTTGCTTTATTCCAGAAACAGTACTAGTGGTACAGTGTGGAATTTTCAGCACATATCTACAATATTTGCATCTAATTTTACCGACGTTTAAAATAAGTATTAAACAAAAAAAAAAGTAAATCTGAAGACATCAACAGCAAAAAAAAACCAAAAAAAACCAAAAAAAAACAGGATAAACACAAAATAATTATGAATGCGAAAAAGTACTTAAGTCTACCAAGGTCTAATGCAGTGTTTGTGGTGGTAGTGTGAGTAATCCTGAATAATACAAAATTTTTTGAGGTGGTGACTATAGCATTCACAAACAATGATTGTCAGTTTAATATTGCCGAAAAGTATAGAAAATAAGAAAAACAACCACAAAACTAATAATTACATGATGGTTAATGACACGAAAATTTTGTACTACTCATAGTGCTAATATAGTCGGAACCAGTGGATACACAATAGAAGGAATATAGTAAAGAACAAAAAAGGAAGCCAATGTTAATATTTTAGGTAGCTAAGTAAGTTTGAAGAAGGAGTTCACTAAAGAATACGAAATAGGAGAGAAATAAAAGAGTATGAAATTATGTTGTTAATAACAAAGCAAGTCACAGGTTTCACGCTTAACATTGTCTCTGTCGCTTAGAACACGGGCCAAGTATGGTATCGTTGAGTTCCTGTACTTGGTTGTACGAGCATAGATTCTTTTATACTGATTTCTGGTTTTACTTGATGAGATACAAGGAGAGAGTTGGGAATAGAGGGGGTGTTGGGGGTCTGAGAGTATGGTTTTTGACCATTTTTCACATGTATTTAGATGCCTATCAACTAAAGTAGTCACGAGCTGACTGAGATTAACACCACTAGTCCTACTAACTACTGTCAACATCCTTCTCAGGATGGAATAGTCCTTTTTCAGTAGCCCAGGAAAGAATAACGGGGAGCAGTAAAGTAGAATAGGTAGGATACAAGAGTTGACAAATTGTGAAAGTAGAGGTTGGGTGATTCCGGATTGTCTAATAACTGATATGATTCTCATTTACCTTTACTGGCTGGCTATTGTATGCTTAAATTACTGGATTTATAATTGTAGAGCCTGAAGAAGAAGAATTTATTGAAACTACAATTGTTCGCTCTAAATATTTTGTTCTGAATTAATTATGGGACTATTCAATTCTCTGAATTGTGTGAATATGATTAAATATGCAAATAGTGATAAATGTAACATTATTTATAACAAAGAACTATTTATTCTACAGCACAGTTATTTTTAAATAATTTTTATATTATTATCATTATTAATTACGACGAATGATAGTTTTAATTATCAGCTGAGCTCACCGATAACCGATTCTAAGCCAATGTGCCTTTACTGTTAAGTTTTGAGAAGAAAAAAGAAAGAAGAAAAAGAGAGCCTTCAGTTTTAATTATGGTTCTAATAAAATTTAAAAGGTCATTTGTATGATTACTGAGGCTTTTTTTTTAACAAAGTAGCATTTTCTAAGTATGTTTTTATTAAACAAGTTCAGTTTAATGGTTTGTAATTGATCAAACAAACGGTATTATTATTATTATTGGGGTCTTTTCAGTAGTGAAATAAACCATGTGTTGACCAATTGACTAATTGTTTAGTGGTGCATGAAGAAGTGAGAAAACAGAAACATAACTTAGAAATCCTGCCAATATGCAGACATCTGTGTTCAAGCAGTCTATAAGCCAAGAAGATAAAACTTTGGTGTTTAAAGCGATGAGTACTATGATTGGGTCTCAGTGGGAATACTATCACTCACAAGGACAATATAGTCCTTCTAGGCGAGGACGCTGACAAAATGCAGAGTCTACTGAACACCTTGAGCAACAGTCTTCGTATGTTTGGCATGTGATTCGCCCCTGCAAAATGTAAGATGATGCTGCAGGATTGGACTACACGGCCCCCTAGATTAGAAATAAGAAGTGAAGTGGTAGAGCACGTTGACCGCTAAGTGAGGCAAATTAGTGTGTCTGTGACCGGGTCGGCGAGCCTTCTACCGCTGCGCCACCGACGCACAAGAGACACAATCACACAAGAGACTTTTAATCCTTGTGTTATTTTAAATTCTATATTTCACTAATTAACTGTCACAGTTTTGTATTTGTTACCTAAATCTTATTATGTTACTTTGTATATGAAGCATAGATAGAATGACTAAGAAATTTGCGCAAAAGTGCATCCCTTCACTACGTCACACTTTTAATCACTGGAAAAAAGCGAAAGTGAGTATGCTTGAGATGAAAAACTGCATTAAGTTTTATCCGATTTAGAAAGTTTTTTTTACAACGTTACAGAATGATAGTGTCCACGTCACTACTTTCGGTTGTAGTCGATAGCACCGATATCCTCTTAACAGTCATTTCTAATACCATTGAGTATGTCAGTTAGGTTGTGTACACTTTAACGCATGGCCGTAAATGGTAGACAGGATCTTCATTTATTGGTACGATCATTTAGTTAAGTCATTCTCGATTTTTCTAGCTTTATGGTGCTTAAGTAGTTTATGATGCTCTGATGTAATGGTGTAATCTTTTCTCTGATCACCTCAACTAGTGAAGTTTAACAGCAATATTGATGCCATAGATGATGCAGGTTATTAAACACCGTATCTTTCTTTAGTATTCATACTGGGATTGAATCGATAATCACTGGATCTGACGTGATACCTTCAGCAGTTCATTTTCAAATCTCGAAGTACAGGGTATGACTAATCCATTTACAATTCTTCCTGCATATTTGTTTCACAATCGGTTCCTGGTTGGTTCGCTCCCAAAGATCCCTGTTGCTGATCTTTTCTGGCCGGCCATCTGATCTTGAGTGGTATTGAGCGAAGAAAACTGTTAATGAAGGTGTGTAGTTTGTTTGAGATGCTCTTTATGACGTGCAGTGCAAGTCTCTGATCCGGATAGTGAGTAGCACTGACTTCACATTGGAGTTGAAAATCTGCAACTTATTTTTGATGCTGAATGCTGTTGACCTTCAGACATATATCGCATCGACGAAGTCCAGATCCGCTAAGTTTTTTGTGGGAGTCCATTTTATGCCTGTTTCTTCATTGCTTGCTGTTTGTCGCATTATCCAATCTACTGCAATCAGGAAAATCATTGGCGATAGTAGGCAGCCAGCTTGTCTTATTCCTGTCCTCACTTCGAAGGATTCCGTGAGTTTCCCGTTGTGGATTACTTGTCATGCAGCATTGTCATACAGCTGTTGGATGAGATGTATAGTTGTCGGTGGCACCCCTTGGTAGTAGCGAAGTAGTTTCCAAATCAACTCTCGATCGACGCTGTCGAAGGCCTTTCAAAGTCGATGAAGTTGAGTGAGGTGGAGAGGTGACTGCCATTCCAAGCTTTGTTCAATGATGATCCATAATGTGGCAATCTGATCAATGCATGACTTGTTTCTCCTGAATCCAGCCTATTACGGTCGAAGTTTTTCATCCAGGGTGGCTTGTTTGATTCTCTCCAGGATTATACGGCTTAGCATTTTGCTTGGGATGGACAGGAGCATAATTCCGCGCCAGTTCTTGTTGACATATATAAAACATCGCGTCCAATTATTATTTTGCTTCTTATTGGAGTATTAATAGTGCAAATGAAGTTTCAGTAGCTATAGTGTTATTCTCTTTTACGGCATGAGTTTGTCAGCCTCACGCTCAACCTTCCCTGTTCACTGGGCACACTACTACCTAAGTGAGGCTTTGGAATGTGTTGGCTGGGATTCAAACTGCTGGCACAGTGCGCGGTTGACAAGGACTCTACCTCTGAACCACCGACTCAAAAGTCGGTCATAAGTAATCTAAATAGTCTAAATGTTATGTTGACGAAAAATCGGTCAAGTCAGTCAGTCAGTCAGTTGTATTTAACAGATGCGTCTAAGATGTCTTATATCTTAAAAGGACTGTAGTGTTAAGCGTAATTTAGATAAAGTTAAAATAAAAAGGGATAATTTACAGTAGGATTGGAACTGATTACCTCTAGTTAATCTGTATGCCTCTGTCAGTAAGGCTTACAAGCCTATCTGTTACATAGGCTTTAGTTTCGCTTCCTCTGTAACTGAAAGTTCGTAAATGTGAATTTGTAGACCACAATAAGAATAAATATTGTTTAATTTGCCAAGCTGTTATTGTGAATATTTTTCGTATTAGAACAAATGAGATAAAAAGCGCCAAAATTTATTAGGAATCTACCGTTTTTTAAAGAATAATACATCTTAGGTGGAGGCTACTAATACACTAACTAGCCCATATTTACCGCTTATTATTATTACATAAGGAAAAGTGACAAAACTATAATGTGGTACCAGTTCATGGAATGAGCACTTTTTGGTCTGAAAATACTAAGAAAATTTAGTTCGCTTGTCTGCAAGCTACGTGACTATAGGAATCTTTGGTTCGAGACTGTACATGATCGAAATGTGGTGTAGACGTATTTACATTTCACCATCTTACTTGTGGTGTTACGTTTTCTGATATATGTTAATCGCGATAGATAGATAGACGGCAAAGTTCTACAATAGAGTCCCAAGGAACGAATGCACAAGTGACCTTGAACCGACCAATCAGACAAAAGGATGATTTTTGCATAAAATTTCACGTATTTTTACATAATTTAGGATGAAAAAAAATCAAACAGGGTACTTTTCTCTAATATGAGATAAAAAATGTTCCAATTATTAAGAGGAGTTTCAGTTTTTAAAATAAAATAATTTCTATACATACATTCATCCAAATGACTGAAAATAACTTCGTTTTGTGATCCGTTGATAGCTCGGATTCTATTTTTCAGTCTTCCCCAGAAACCTTCGATGGAATTATTATGAGTACCGGTGACAGGGTCGACGAAATCATTCAAATGGTTCACTCTATGATCTATATATCCCAATTGCGATAATTGGCTATATCCCGCCCATTCATCTGTATGACTAGTGGTGCCTGGTAAGACTAGACGCTGAATAATAGGGAGGAGTGTATCAGCACTCCTATCTAGAATCAGCTCCATAAACCCTTTGCGAATCTAAGTGTCATAAATTCCTAAAACCCAAACGTTATTCGCTCTGGCACCCAGTAATTGGACAGAAACAAGACATTCATCAAAGACAGCTTCAACTTTTCAAAGAAAGTTCCTAGAAGACAATTAATTCAGTGTCACCAGTACGCACCATTATTCGCGCTAGAATAATGGTGAGCTTCCTCAACCAATAACTAGCATGCGTTCAGGGTCATTGGAACGTTTACAATCCTGGAACTCTATTCTTGTACTTCGTCAGATAGACTATATGATAGACAGCTAATCAATATGATGTGACCTTCTTGTCGCGATTATTGGTTAATTTAATGTAACTCACACCACGTGATGTGACCTTGAGTGTTCTTTGTTGTCTGTCACTTTAATTGTGTGTACATGTTGTAATTAATTAACTGTTCATTTTCTCCGTTCCCTCAATACTGTTCGGTACGTTTTTGTCCTTTTTTGAATGACAGTGGATTTGTATATTTTTCTTGGTGTAATTGTATGATTTATTTTATGTTTTAGAAACAGATAAAGTTTAAGTCAAGTCATTCTGTTTTTAACTGTAGCTAAGCCAAGACTCTGTGTCGTCAGTATTGAGGAAGGACTAAATCTGTAGGCAAAATTAATCCTACAGAGACTTTTAATGTTTTATAATTCCTTCACTTTTCCCGTGGAACATTGGGCTCCAAGCTAGATGCCGGAAGTTTCGGTAGCAGTGGTATTTTATTTTTACGGGATGGGGTTGCTGGCCTCATGCCCAACCTTCCCTCTTTACCAGACCTATTACTGGCTTAGCGAGGTAAAGGAGTGCATTGGCAGAGGATCGAACCCCGTACCACCTGCGTGGTCGGTGAGCATTCTACCGCTGCGCCACCGACGCACAAGAGACACAATCACACAAGAAACTTTTAATCCTTGTGTTATTTTAAATTCTATATTTCACTAATTAACTGTCACAGTTTTGTATTCGTTACCTAAATGTTAATATGCTAATTTGTATACGAAGCATAGATAAAAAAACGAAGAACTTTAAGCAGAAGTGCTTCCCTTCACTATGTCACACTTTTGATCACTGGGAAAAGGACGAAGTGAGTATGCATAAAATGATATTCTGATAAACGGAAATAGGTACTCGGTCTCAAACTAGTAAGAAACAGCTGTCCAGTACTTCCAGGTTTTCCAGTGGTTCTCTAACTGATGTCAGCTCATGATGAAATTCTCCATGCAATCAAACAAAGTCCCTACAAAACCAATACTTGACAAAGATATTTACCCAGATGTCAAAGGAATGCGTCATACGTAACTGCTAATGTATGATCTCTCCATTGGCTTCCCAGTCAGGCTTTTACATTTCAGTTCTAATCAAATTGAATCAGACAAGATAGACAACTTACTGGCCAGTGGTTCATTTGATTTATATCAGGTGTGTAGCAGTTATACAGAAATTTTTCTATTTAAATAAATGTTTTGTCTGTTTTCTTTAAAAATTATTTATAGAAATCCATTGAGAGGCTTGAAATTCTTGGCAAAACATAAATTTCTCAAATTGTCTTCCAGTGAAGAAATTTCTGAATTTATTTGTAATAATCCTGATTTATGTCGTTCTAAAATTGGAGCATTTCTTGGACTTCCTCCTAGTGAAGAAATCAACCCTACTGAAGTAACAATGTGAGTTTTGTTATTTATGTGCGAATATGATATTATGATTTTGTTGTTTGTTTTTTTGCTGGAATTATAGGATTGAAATGAATCCAACTTTAGGGTATTTGAACCTCTTTTCATTAATTATGCATCAATGTAAGCTCTTTCTCCACTTAACTATATTACTTTTTAATACTGACAACCTGTCCCACTCTATTGTGTGTGATTACATGCAAATGAATGCAGTGCGATGCAATAGCTGAGCTTTTTTCTAGGTTATTCAACTTATCAGGGTCAATTATTCTAGGTTTGGCTAAAATTTTATGTTCCAATAATCTAGTTGACCCCTGTCTACTACTAGTTTGACTGTCCAATGTAATTTACCTCACTGACAATCATTAAATGGTATTTGATAAATGATATTATTTTTCTTAATTGGATCATCTATTGGTTCCTTAAGCCGACAGAGTTTATCTCTGGGAGATTTTTTTGACTGGACACTAGTCAGTAACTAGTGTAATGTGCCTAATCGTATCTTTGGTGCAAACTGAAGTCTATCAGTCATGTTTGCAATGTTGCCACCATGCAAGGTGGCTCGTCATAAAGGTGTACTGTGAATTGAATTGTTGGTATTAGATGGTTGGAGGCAATTGGCAGGAAGCCCTACCTGAGCTAGGTTTCGTGTTTGTTAGCACTCACTAGTCAGCAATGCGTATCTGCAACCTTGAAGAAACTCATATCCCTTCTGAGGTTCTGACCCACGTCACCCATTGCTGCTGTCAGAGACCTTATCACTAAGCTATTTGGGCTCGTGATTGACTTCCTGTAGGAGGTCATCATTTCCTCCAAGTTTGCATATACTCCATGCTGATGAGTGTCAATTAGCACGAAACCTAAGTCCAAGACTTTCTGCAGATTGCCTCTAACCATCTAATACCAACAATTCTATCTCTGAGACAGTTGTTTAGTTCTAATGCCACCCTAATTTCAGCCTCATTGAGAATCCTACGGAGGCGCTCTGATGTTCCTTCTTTATACGGCAGTACTACAAAGGCTTTGAACTCTATATTGTTTTCGCAATTTTTATTGCTAATCTTAGTTTTTCTATAGTTCTTACTATATATATTTTTGAATAAATCCTGGTGGGTATTCACTAATGTTTTCTTTAATTTGTTTGATTTCATTATTTAAATCTAATTGCTTACTAGTTAGGCTATTGGTTCAATTATACAAATATTTAACTAAACCCCTACCTTCACCGATAATGACGTTTTAAGCACAATTTACTACTCATAATCAATATTAAGACTCGAAACGTCATCAGAAAATTAATAAAACTGTATCACTGTGTGCTTTTATCAGATAAATTTACTCTGTGATGGGATTATACTCTAACACAATTTTTTTATTCCTTCACGTTCCCAGTGGAACATAGGGCTTCAAACTAGAGGCTTGAAGTTTCTGTAGCACTGGTGATTATTTTTACAGGATGGGGTTGCTAGCCTCATGCCCAACCCTCCCTCTTTGCCAATTCTATTACTAGCTTAGCGAGGTAAAGGAGTGCGTCGGCCGTGGATCGAACCTGGACCACATGCATGATCGGTGAGCGTCCTAACCGCTGTGCCATCGACGCACGAGTTATATTCTCTATATCAGCAATGGCTTAGTTTGCATTTAAGAATTTCTGCTGACAGATGGACTTATAAAGCCTGATGCTATCTATATACGATATCCTACAATATCGTATGATTCAACTTAGCGGTCATCTTAAAGAAGTGTGTGCGAGGGGTATTTTTGTTGAGATATAGTTTTGATTGCCATCTGGTAAAAAGATTTAGGTTATCAGATAATATTCATGAAAAAAAATGTGAAAATTGTTGTCAGTATGTGTATTTTTAACCTTAATGTGAGGGCATTTATTATATTAGAGAATATAACTAACTGTCATTCTGGAAAACTAATTTTTGTGATCAATATTAAATTTCGCTTTTTTTTTGATAAATGAATAACACATTGATGAATGTAGAATATAATTTAGATAGACATTTTGGATAAGATCAGGTTAAATTTTTTATTTGATTATCTTTAATGCTGGTTTCAAAGATGATCAACGACTAGGAGCATAAATCATGAAGTTATAGGTCAGTAAAGAACATTCTTTCCGTGACTTCACTTTAAAGACGTACAGTTATGTAGTTTTCAAGAGTTAGTCTATTATCATTATTATTGTTTCCTTTAATTCCTAGAGGAACATAGGGCTTCAGCCGTGCGTCTCCATTGCGTTCCGTTCTCTGCTAGAGTCTTCACCTGGCTCCAAGTCTGCCCACACGTTTTCATCTCCTCTTCACATGACCTCCTCCAAGTCATCCTTGCACTGACGACCAACTCGCCGCTTCCCTTTCAGTCGGGTTCCACTCGAGCAATGGCTTGTCTAGTGATGTCACTTGATGCATTGTTTCCTCAGAGTATGACCAGCCAATCCATCTCCATTTCTTCCTGCCTGCCTATTTGTTTCACAATCGGTTCCTGCTTGGTTCGCTCCCAGAAATCCCTCCCTGTTGCTGATCTTTTCTGGCCGGCCATCTGATCTTGAGTGGTATTGAGCGAAAACAACTGTTAATGAAGGTCTGTAGTTTGTTTGAGATGCTCTTTATGACGCGCAGTGCAAGTCTCTGATCCATCCGTATAGTGAGTAGCACTGACTGACTTCACATTGGAGTTGAAAATCCGGATCTTATCTTCGTTTTGATGCTGAGTGTTGTTGACTTCCACACAGACTTGAGAGTAGTGGGAGCTTGTCTTGCTTTTCCGATTCTTGCTTTGATATCCTCGTCAGTTCCGTCTGCATGTAGTTGAAACGATGCTTCTCAGGTAGGTAGGTGGGTGAAGGAGGTTGTTTCTTTCAGGTTCCTCCCATTTATGCTGGCTGATTGTTTTCTGTTGTTGTTGTTGCTGTTGGTGGTGTTGCCCTTTATAGTACTATATAATAACTACACAGGTTCGAAGTGTGGTCATAAAGGAATATTTTGTGCTGGTCAAGGTGTCTTTTTTCAATTCATACTACATGGAAGTATGTGAACAGTTTTACAAAATTTCTTTTCTATTTATAAGCAAATGATAAGAAACCGTGAACAGCTTCCAATACAGCACAATGTGAACGTACACATGCAGTTTGCTTCTAGGTGGAATTTATCAGTCAGCTGCGTGCTTTGTCGGGTTTTCTTCTATGCCATGTGAATCAAAACTTTACGATTTCTGACTTCCCTTTAAAATTAAAATAGAAAAAAAATACAAGAATAGTAGCAATTAAAAAGAAGAATAGTTGAATATCACTCATTAAAACACCTATATAATAAAACTTGTAGTACGTATTCACTAGTTAGTTGAAAAGTTGAAAAGATCCTGACAACCCCCCAAAAAATGCATATACTGCATCGGGACAACAAAATCTGTAGATGTAATGCAGGGAGAGATAGATATCTGATTACTAGTGATATTTCTCTATGCCGCCTAATAGATAACAGCAAGAAAACTTTGTAGATTTCAAATGAATTTTGATTTCTCTCTGTGTGTAAATACGAGACATTTAGTGTTCTGTTTTTAATCTCTCTATGTTGATCCGTTAACTGTGAACAGTGGATAGTGCATAGATCTACAATACTGATAAATGCTTACTTTTAAAAAAAGAGTAGTATTTTGTATACTGTTCAACTAGGAAAGTATGACAGTTCTTGCAAAAAACTTTTCTTTTTTCATCGACATGATGAATAAATGTTACTGTCAGTTTATATCTTCTAATGTATCTATAAATCCTGCCTAGTTTACTAACCGATCATAAGGCCGGTGGTAAAAGAAGGATGTTTGGGAGTGGACGTAACCACTATAGCCCGAAAAATGAACCTAATCGCTACAGAAACATTAAAGCACAGAAAAATATTTATTATTATTGTTTCCTTTAATTCCTAGAGGAACATAGGGCTTCAGCCGTGCGTCTCCATTGCGTTCGGTTTTCTGCTAGAGTCTTCACCTGGCTCCAAGTCTGCCCACACGTTTTCATCTCCTCTTCACATGATCTCCTCCAAGTTATCCTTGCACTGACGACCAACTCGCCGCTTCCAATACAGTCGGGTTCCACTGGAGAAATGGCTTGTCTAGTGATGTCACTTGATGCATTGTTCCCTCAGAGTATGACCAGCCAATCCATCTCGATTTCTTCCTGCCTATTTGTTTAACAATCGGTTCCTGCTGAGTTGGTTCGCTGATTGCCAGAGATCTCTGTTGCTGATGTTTTCTGGCTGGCCATCTCATCTTGAGTATTGCGTGAAGACAGGTGTTGATGAAGGTGTGTAATTTGTTTGAGATGCTCTTTATGACGCGCTGGCCAAGTCTCTGATCTGTATAGTGAGTAGCGCTGACTTCACATTGGAGTTGAAAATCCGGATCTAATCTTCGTTTTGATGCTGAGTAGGGCTGTTGACCTCCACACAGACTTGAGAGTAGTGAGAGCTTGTCTTGCTTTTTCGATCGTCTCTGCTTTGATATCCTCGTCAGTTCTGTTTTCCTGTAGTCGAAACGACGCTTCCAAGGTCGGTAGGTAAAAGAGGTTGTTTGAAAGAATGTGTTTGTATATACTTTTATACATATATATTCTCTATCATATCCTGCAAAACTGAGCTTTCTGAGTATTTCATTAATAAAGCTGGTTGAATTCCAGAACTTTGCTGTTCCCGGTTGATTTGCCAATGACCATAGAATGTTGGTCATAAGAAATCAGGGAATTGGATTTAGAATATTTTTGGAATTAAAAAAAATATCCGTTTGGCATAACTTCAGAAATCTGTCTTTCAGACTTCCAGATGATTTTTACTCCCTAGAAACAGTATTTCTACTTGTAGACGATTATTATTATTATTCTATCTGACTACATCTAGTTTCCGAGTGGAATATTGGGCTTTAAGCTTGAGCTTTGGAATTTCAGTAGCGTTGGTGTTGGTTTTACGAGTGTTAAGGTTGCTAGCCACAGGTCC